AAAATTTCAAAAATTTGTGGTTTAAAAAAAAAGGGTTTGGATGCGAGAAGTGGGTCAAATAAGCGTGAGGGCACGGAGAAAAGAGGAATGCGAGGAAGGGGAGGGGTTTTTTGGGGGAAAGTTAATTTAAAAGTATAGGAGCCTTTGAAAACCCAAATGAGAGAGTAATTTTTGGTAGGGGGGCTTTTAAAGCTAAATTTGGAAAAAAAAAAAAATTTTTGGAGGGTGTGGTTAAAGGGAAATTTGGGGTGCCCCGGGGTTTTAAAAGAAATGGGAAACCCTTTGGGTTGAACTTTGTTAGAAAGGGGTTTAGTTAAAGGGAATAATATTTTAAGGGAAAAAAGGGATAAAAAAGTATACACGAAAATTTTATGTAGGGGGAAATGACAGTAAATTTGGTTGGGGGAAAGTATTGGGAAAAATAAAAGACTGGGTTTAGTAAAACTTCAGGGTGTAAATGTTTTTAGAGGGGCCACAGGTTTATCAATTTACTTTTTATTGTAGTACACTGAGAGTAAAAGGGGAAAGGGGTACAAGGGGAATAAAGCATCGGGAAGAGAGAGGGGAAAAATTTTTAAAAATAAAAGAGGAGGCCGTTAGGGGAAGGATATAAACAGCTAATTTGGGGGATAGATGGGCTAAAAGAGACATAGGGAATGGGGTCGAAGAGGAAAGGGGGGTTTATTTTTAAAATTTAGGTTAAGGTTCAGGGTTTTGGGGTTAAAAGGGGAAGGGAAAGGGCATTTAATGTAATTAAAAAGGGAAAAGGGGGAAAAAATTTAGTTAAATTTTTTAAAAAAATAAAAAAATTATGGGGGGAAAATTAAAGATTTTAAGTTAAAAAAAGGGGGAAAAAGGGAGATTAAGTTTAACAATTTTTTTAAATTAAAAAAATTTGGATAAATTAAAAATTTGGGAAAGCCAAAAAATTTTTCAAAAAAAAAGGGGATTTAAATGGAGATTTAGGGTTTGGGTTTGGAAGGTTTATTTTGGGAATTTTAAAATTTTTTAAAGTGGGGAACGTTTTCTTTTTTAAAAAGGGGGAAAAAATTTTTTTGGGGTTTAAAACCCCTTGGGGGGGAAATTTTGGGGGGGTTTAGGTAAAATGGGGGGGGTTTAAAAATTAGGGGTAAAGAAGAATTTAAAAGAGGTGGGAAAATTTTTGGAGTGGGGTGGAAATTTAAAAAATAAAGGGGTGGGAAGGGAGCAGAGAATCTTTTTTTTTGGGGGGAAAAAAAAAAGGTAAAAAATTTGGGGGAAATTTTGTTGAGGTCCGGGAAAAAGGGTGATGGGGGGAAAATTAAAAATTTTAAATCGGGGGTGAAAAAAAGGGTTTAAAAGGGTTGTTAATTTTACAAATGAAACAATAAAAAAATTTAATAACCCAAAAAGGCGTGGCATTTATTTTAAAAAACGTTCAGGGGGGATCAATTAAAAAATTTTTTAAGGTCTTTTCTTTTTTTTTGGGTTTTGGCCTTTTTCAAAACATTGCGTAAAAATTTAAAATCTTTTTTTTAGGTTAAAAAAGGGGTCGGGGGGTTCTTTGGGAAATTAAAATTGGGGGTTAAAAGGTACAAAATGAAAAAAAGGGAATAGGTTGTTGGTTTTAAAAAAAAAGGGGAAATTTTTTCCCGGGTTTAGGCCGCGGTTTTTTTTCCCCTGGTGGTTTTTTTTTTGGGGGAAGGAAAAAAAGGAGGGGGCCCAGGGGTGAGTTAAAAGATAAAAAAACCCAAATGGGTTTTGTCAATCCTTTTTGTGTGACCTTTCGGGGGGTTTGGGAGAAATTCAGATTTGGAAAAATTGTGGGTGGCAAAAAAGAAAAAAAAAATTCGGAAAGGAGGTTAAAAAACAAAAATTAAGAAATTTTTAGTTTGGGGGTAAATAAAAAAAGGGGGGAATTTTAAATTTTAAAAAGGGTTTTTTGGGGGGCTATAAAGATATGTCTTTTTAGGGGAAAAAAGTATTTTTTTAAAAAATTTTCCCGAATTCCTTACAAAAAAGGGGAATTAGGGAATTTTCCCAAGCCTTTTTGGGGGAAGGGGGGTATGAATTTGGCCAGGGAAGGGGGGCCCTTTCTGCTGGGGTTTTTTGGGGGAAAAAAAATTTTTAGGGATTTTAAATGGGGGTTCCAAAATTTCCCAGGGGGTGGGGGGTTTTATTTCGGAATAAAAAAGGGAGCGAAAACAAATACTTCAAGAAAAAAAGGAGGGAAAAAGGGGGGTTTGGGGGGGCCTAGGAAGGGTTAAAAGGGGGTTTTTTGGGGGGGGCTTGCGGCACGGGGCTTTTTGAAGGGTAAAAAGGGAAAAATTTTTTTAACACGGGTTGGGAAAAGGGAAAAGAAATTTTTAGGGGGGTTTGGGGAAAGGGCCCGGTTTGGCCCTAGAGGAAAATTTCGTGCCCCCCGGGGAAAGGGGTTTAATTTCATTAAAAACTGTTTTTTAAAAAACCCCCCTTCTAAAAAAATTGGGGGGAAATAGGGGAAAAAAAATTTTTTTTTATTGGGGTAACCCCTTTGGGGAAAAAAAAAAAAATTTATAAAATATTAATATTTATATATATATATAATAATTTAAAAAAATTAAAAAAAAAAATTTTATTGCCCCGGGGGTTATTTAAAAGTTTTTATTAAGTTTGTGTAGGGAAAAAAATTTTTGGGGTTTGGGAAACTGGGGGGGTTTTTTTGGGATGTCCGGGGGAAATTTTGGGGGAACCCACCCCTGCCCCAAACCCCTTTTTACCCCCCAAAAAAAAACCAGCACACCCCCACCCACCCCCCCCCCAATACCTAAACCCCCACCCACCACCCCCACCCTACTACCCCCCCCACCCACCACCCCCAACCCAATAGCTACCCCCACCCCCCACCCTCACCCAATAGCTCCACCCCCCCCAAACCACCCCCACCATCAGTACCCCCAGTCCCACTACCAGCACCACCGCACCACCAGTACCCACTACCATCACTACCCCCAGCACCACCCCACCACCCCCAGCAACACTCCCAAAAGGCACCACCGCCTTGATAAGGTCATAAGTACACGCTCGTAGCCATTATTGTAGTGATTATGAAATGTAGGGCTCGTGCCCCACCTCACTACTTGTCAAGGTCACTGTGAAAGTCAGTCTTCCTCATTACTTGTGAAGGTCCTGTAAAAGTCATGCCACTCTTCATTATCTGTAAAAAGTCAGGGTCGCTCCTCATCACCTCTGAAGGACTGTGCGAAGATCAGGTCAAAGGGCAAGTGTGTGGGGTATCACCTAATTGTGGTTTTCAGGGGGGCGAGACTCAGCTCCTGGCCCCGCCCCCTTTTACTAATTGCTACTAGGTCCTTCTCTCCCTGCTCTATGAGCTTGATCATACTCGTCTTAAAAAAAATGTTTTGGTTCCTGCCTCCACTACGTTCACTTGCTAGGCTATTCCACTTCCTGACTACTCTGTGACTGAAGAAATACTTCCTTACATCCCTTTGATTCATCTGGGTCTTCAAGTTCCCAATTGTGACCCCTTGTTTCTGTGTCCCCTGTGTGTGGGTGGGGGTGTGGGTGTGGGTGTGTGTTGGTGTGGGTGTGGGTTGTGTGTTCGAGAGGCGTTTAAAGGGGGTATCTACACTCGTGTAGGCAATAAATGTTTTGTAGTGGGCAGCAGGTGGTCGGGGGAAGGTATTTTTCCCCCCAAAAATAGAAAATTTCCCATTGCGGTGGGTGTTATTCATACGATGATCCCCTGATACTGTTAGGTTAGGTTAAGATATGTCAGGAAACAGGACAAGTGTTTCCTACACGGGTTTTTAGTCATATGATGACCCCCTAATAGAGCTTTTGATTTATCGGAACGAGGCCTTCCACTGGTTACCGGTCCACCCCTTTTAAAAATTAAGGTTATAATTGTACAGTTGTTGGTCCTGTGACCCCAGCTTCACCCAGGCTCGCTGGTCTCCTAACACTGGTATTGATCGTAAATGACCTGCGGTGCTCACTGGAGCTTTGGTCATGGGGTTGAGATCTTCCGCAGGGTCACCGCTTACCCCTACCTCGAAAAACAAAAATGTTGACTAGGATATATAAGCAAAAATTTTTTTCGTTTATTCTCTAAAAAATTTTAAGTTAATTTAAATTATAGCTAGGTATAGAAAAGAGAATAAAAAGAAATACTTTGCAACGACCACTAGTAGTAAATAAACAAAAATACGCTATATGCTCGTGCTGTCGTGTTTTTACGTTTTCTACCACGGCATAAGCGATAGGTTTCGTGCCCAGTAAATATGTTAGCTGGGAGCCAGTACACGTTTGGAAGGGGCGCGAGAAGACGAACATAACTTCGTTCGCGGCAAAAAACGTTAGTTGGAAGAATGTGGCCTTCATGATTAATAATAAAGGCAAATAACTTTGCTTGCTGGGTAAAAAAGGG